TTTTTTTTTTTTTTTTTTATCAGAGAGTGTTCTGTTAGTCTCTGATTCTCATTTTTCCATCATGTCCATTATGTTCTTTTTATGTCTCTTGTAATTTCCATTTCCTTGCCTTTTTTATTTTGCATTCTTGGACGATTTCTCATGTCATTCTTTAAAATTACTAAGCTAGTCACCAGCAGAATTCCTTCTACTGTTGTCTGCAGCTATTACAATTTTGGTTTATCTTGGTATGAGTGACTTTCATTCTCGATGACTCTATCTTGTTCTCCAAATGTGGTGTTTCCCCAGCAGACTGCTTTTCTGTCATGGGTGCAGTACATAGTTGTATATCCTGGCCCACACTACTTGTTGCCTTCTAAAATTATCTTTTGTTTCAGGGAGCCTGGGTGGCTCAGTCAGTTAAGCGTCTGCCTTCAGCTCAGGTCATGATCCCAGGGTCCTAGGATCGAGCCTGACATCAGACTCTCTGCTCAGTGGGGAGTCTGCCTCTCCCTCTCCATCTGCCCCTCCCCCAGCTCATGCTTTCTCTCAAATATATAAAATCTTTAAAAATAAATAAAATTATCTTTTGGGTCCTACTATAATTCTGCTTCCCTGGATGCTACACACTAATTTCTCAGTTTATAACTTCCTTTTTGTCTTACTGATTCTTCCCATAGCCAGTGAATATTTTATAATTAGAAATAAAGGTCTGGGGGCGCCTGGGTGGCTCAGTCGGTTAAGCGTCTGCCTTTGGCTCAGGTCATGATCCCAGGGTCCTGGGGTCGAGCCCCGCATCGGGCTCCCTGCTCAGTGGGGAGCCTGCTTCTCCCTCTCCCTCTGCCTGCCTCTCTGCCTATTTGTTCTCTCTATCTCTCTGTCAAATAAATAAATAAAATCTTTAAAAAAAAAAGAAAGAAAGGTCTGTATGGCCAGTAATGAGGGGTGGAGGGGGCTTTCTAAAGTTGGTGGCATCATTACAAATTTCTCTCCATGGACCTTGCCTCAGGGACATGCACAGGCTCCTCATTAGGAATCAGAGCCACTGCCAGACTCAAGCTCTTCTTAGGTGCAGCTGAAATGCACCATGACCCAGGTGCTTAGCTGCTGAATTCCAAAATTCCTGAGCTCACTCCCTGTATGAAATTAAGTTTTGTGCTCTGAGGAGGATACTGGGCCAGCTCCTATATTTCAGTACTCTGTTGGTGCTGTAATAGGTTGATTTTTGTCCCCCAGAAGGTATGTTTGAGTCCTCCTAACTCCTGGTGTGTGTGAATGTGATCTTCTTTGGAAATAGCATTACTTGGTCTTTGCAGATAATCATTTAAGTTCACATGAAGTCATAGTGAATTAGGGAAGACTCTTACTCAATATGACTGGTGTCCGTAAAAGATGAAGAGTAAAGACACGGAGACACACAGAAGAAAGACAGCTATGTGACAATAGAGGCAGAGATTGGAGTGATGCTGTCACAAGCCAAAGAAGGCTTGGAGCTTCCAGAAGCTGCAAGATGCAAAGAGAGAAGGATGAGAAGGATCTTTCCCTAGAGTCTTTGGAGGAAGTATTGCCCTGTCAACACCCTGACTTCAGACTTCTAACCTCCAGACTGTGAGATAATACATTTCTGTTATGTTAAGTCACCCAGTTTGTGGGACTTTGTTACAGCAGCCCTAGGAAACCAATAAAAGCACTCTAAGTCTTTTTGTGTGCTCCTAAGACTAATTCCTAATCTATGGAGGGAGAAAGGAAATGTGGGAGGGTGGAAATGAAATAAAGAGCAAATAAACGAAGAAAGAGATGAGGCAGAGAGAATATAAAGAAAAGAAGACCAAAGAAGGACCACTATAGCCCTCTTGAAAGCCTATGTTTTCAGTGAATAAAACTTCAGTGAAGGTACAGGTAGGTGACCACGCCAGGAAACACAAGTGGGTGTGTGAGAGTCACAGTTGGTAGATTCATTTGAGAAGAAGGGATACCAATGATGACCTCATTCTCTGTTTTCCCAGGTACCACACTGGGAGATTACACCAAGGTTAACCTCATCCGACTGGGTCTCGCTGCCATGTTTCTGATTATCACCAGGATTTTGCTGGCCGAAGCCTGGCATAGCCAGGAGGAGTCTCCATGAGGATCCACATAAAGCATCTGAGTACTTATCTTTTTCATGGGTTTTTATAGTGATACAGGGTTCTTTCAGCACCAAACTATATCATGGAGATTTCCCGTTTCTCAGTAGGAGGGCCAGTGGCCTTTAGGTGGGATACTTCTTTACCATGTGTGACTGTCCTATTGATTATAGAAACACTTAGCATCTATTTTCCCTCCCCACTAAACACCAGCTAAAACCCACAATAAGCGTGGAAGAAGAAAAAAGACAAGTACTACAGTACTTTCTCAGACATCCCTAGATACAGACAATGGGGAGCAGGGTGTTCCCCTGGTGGAGAACCTGTGTTTGGAGGCCAGGAGAAATAACATTCTTTCTCTTCCTCCCTCCCCTGATCTCTCTCTCTGTCCTTCTCTACCTACAGGCCCCACAGCTGCCCAGGGGAATGATGGATATTGATCAAGTTAGACCCACTGACCCTGAACAGTTTCCAGTGGATCGTGCATTCTCACCTCTGCTGAGAGCCACTCCAGGACAAGATGATGGTTTCCTCTTCTGTACTCCTCACTTGGGGCAGAGGACAGGCCTGGGCATAAAGATTAATCCAACAGAATATTAATTTATGTAACACAGGACATCTTTTCCCTACTATATGATGTACCATTTCTGTTATAAAGCAAACTTCCGTAAGTATATAGATCTGTTTCTGGGATCATTATTTATTTGGTCAATGTGGCTTTACTGTGCATTTTCCTGACAGTTAATGTCGTTGAGCATCTTCTCATGTACTACTGGATATATGTATATATTCCTAATGAAGTATCTGATGAAGGATTTTGCCCATTTTTTAAGCAGACTCCAGGAGCGCAACCTGGGGCTTGAACTCATGACCCTGAGATCAAGATCTGAGATCAAGAGTCGGACACTTAACCGACTGAGCCACCCAGGCACCCCAACTCTGCCCATTTTTAAATTGGGTTGTTAATCTTCTTGATATTGAGTTGTAAGAATATATATATAATCTGGGCACAAGTCCATTATTAACAGACATGTACTGCAAATATTTACCTCAGTCTGTTACTCCTCTCTGCACTTTTAAATGAAATTTTGCATCTTTTTAAAAGCTAAAGTTTTGAATTTTCATGAAGCCTATAAATTATGAAAGTTTTTCTTTTACAGCTAGAGCTTTTGTATTCTATCTAGGAAATTTCTGCCACACATAGATTGTGAGTCCTTGTTTTCTTCTGTAGGTATGATAGTATTACCCCTTACATTTAGGTCTATTATCTTTTCAAAATTTATAGAGATGGTATCAGGTAAGAGTCAAGGTTCATTCTTTTAACATACAGATTAACCCAATTGTTCCTGTACCATCTCTTGAAAGGGTTATTCTTTTTCCACTGAATTATTTTGGCATTTTTGTTTAAAAACCAGTTTACCAGGGGTGCCTGGGTGGGGGGCTCAGTCGTTAAGCATCTGCCTTCGGCTCAGGTCATGATCCCAGGGTCCTGGAATTGAGCCCCGCATTTGGGCTCCCTGCTCAGCGGGGAGCCTGCTTCTCCCTCTGCCGCTCCCCCTGCTTGTGCGCTCTCACTCTGTCAAATAAATAAACAAAATCTTTTAAAAAAAATCCTTGATTTAGGGGTGCCTGGGTGGCTCAGTCGTTAAGCATCTGCCTTCGGCTCAGGTCGTAATCCCAGGGTCCTGGAATCGAGCCCCGCATCGGGCTCCCTGCTCGGCGGGAAGCCTGCTTCTCCCTCTCCCACTCCCCCTGCTTGTGTTCCCTCTCTCGCTGTGTCTCTCTGTCAAATAAATAAAAAATAAAAAGATAATAAATAAAAACCAGTTTACCGTAGATTAACTAGTTGCTTTCTGAACTCTGTTGGTCCACTGATCCAATACCACACTATATTTATTATTGTAGTTTTTTTAAGTCTTGAAAACAGAGGCTGTTGGCGTTATCAGGTTTTCAAATTATTCTGGCAGTTCTAGATCTTTTAAATTTCCATATACATTTTAGAATCAGCTTGTCAATTTCTACCAAAGGCTACTGGGATCCTGATTGGCCTTGTGTTTACACTATATATCAACTCAGAGAGAATGGATATCTTAATAATGAGTGTTCTGATCCAGGGGCACAGTTTATATCTTTATTTAGACTTCTCTCATTTCTCTCAGCAATGTTTTGCCTTTTTCAACATACAGGTCTGGCATATGTCAACTAAATTTTATCCTTAGGTTTTTCATGTTCATTTACATGATACAAAGGATACTGCCTCCTAAATTATCACTTGCAGTGGTTCCCTGCATGTGCATATAAGTGCAGTTATTTTTTTGTTACCAAGACATCCTGCTACCTTGCCAAGCTCAGACATTATTTAACTTTTTGTAGATTCCTTAGAAATTTTTACATAGTCCATCATATTCTCTGTGACTAGACACAGTTTTACTTCTTCCACTTCTAATCTGTATACTTTTTTTTTTTTTGCCTAATTTCTCTAGCTAGAATATCCAGAATGCTGTTGAGGAAATTAGTGATCTTGCCTTCTACGTGATCTTACGGTGAAAGCATTCAGTTGTTCACCATTAAATATGCTATTACTCATAGGTTTTTCACAGATGTCCTTTATACATCAAAGGAAGTTCCCTTCTATGTTCCTGGTTTGCTGAAACCTCACACCTTATAAAAATGAAATCAAAGTGGATTAAAGATTTGAATTTAAGATGTAATATTAGAAAGCCTTTGAAAGAGGGGTGCCAGGGTGGCTCATTTGTTAAGCGCCTGCCTTCGGCTCAGGTCATGATCCCAGCATCATGGGATGGGGAGGACAGCCTGCTTCTCCCTCTCTAGCTCCCCCATGCTTGAGTTTCCTCTCTCACTGTCTCTCTCTGTCAAATACATAAAATCTTAAAAAAAAAAAAAAAAAAAACCTTTGAAAGGAAACAGAAGAAAATCATCAGGATCAAGGGCTTGGTGAAGAGTTACTAGACACAACACCAAAGCATGACCCATTACAGAAAAATGCATGAAGTTAGATTTAATCAAAATTAAGAGCTACCACTCTGCAGAAGACTCAAAAGGGGTCAGAAGACAAGCTACAGTCTGGGAGAAAGTATTTGCAAATCCTGTATTTGACAGAGGCCTTCTATCTAGAATAAATCAAGAACTCTCAAATATCAACAATAAAGAATTTTTTTTTTTTAATTGGGGAGTTGGTTAATGGAGACAGAGTTTCAGTTCTGCAAGAAGAGAGCCCTGGAGGTAGACGGTGGTGGTGGTTCTACAACAGTGTGAACGTACTTAATACCACTGAGCTGCACACTTCAAAATGGTCAAGGTACTAAATTTTACATTACATGTGCTTTACCACAATAAAAATACTGGAAAAAAATTAGAGAACGGCAAGGCACCTGGCTGGCTCAGTTGGTAGAGCAGAGTATTCCTTTTTTTTCCCCCCAAACTTTTAAATTCTAGTTAGTTGACATATAGTGTAATATTGGTCTCAGGAGTAAAATTCAGTGATTCATCACTTGCATACAACACCCAGTGCTCATCATAGCAAGTGCCCTCCCTAACACCCACTACCTATTTAACCCATCCCCCACCCACTTCCCTCCATCAACCCTCAGTTTGTTCTCTATAGTTAAGAGTCTATTATGGTTTGCATCCCTCTCTTTTTTCCCCACTTCCCCTATGTTCATCTGCTTTGTTTCCTAAATTCCACATCAGAGTAAAATCATATGGTATTTGTCTTTCTCTGACTTATTTCACTTAGCATAATATACTCTCGTAGAACATGCATTTCTTGATCTCAGGGATGAGTTCAAGTCCCACATTGGGTGTAGAGATTACTTAAAAATAAAATCTTTAAAAAAATTGGAGAGTGGGCAAAAGTCATAAACAGTCATTTCCTCAAAGAGATTATATGATGGTAAATAAGCACATAAATGTGTGTTCAACATCACTAGCCATTAGGAAAATTCCAATTAAGACCACAACTGAAGGAACATATCAATAAGAACATCTAAATTAAGAATAATGACAATATCAAATGTGGAAGGATGCAGAGAAAGTGGATTTCTCATACAATGCTTCTGGGAGCTTACATGGTATAGTTGCTCTGCAAATTATTTTGGTAGTTTTGGTTTTTTTAATTAATTTTTTTTTAAAGATTTTATGTATTTAACAGAGAGAGACATAGCGAGAGCAGGAACACAAGCAGGGGGAGTGGGAGAGGGAGAAGCAGGCTTTCCGCAGAGCAGGAAGCCCGATGTGGGACTCGATCCCAGGACCCTGGGATCATGACCTGAGCCGAAGGCAGACGCTTAACGACTGAGCCACACAGGCGCCCTAATTTTTAATTTTTTTTAAAGATTTTATTTATGTATTTAACAGAGAGAGACACAGCGAGAGAGGGAACACAAGCAGGGGGAGTGGGAGAGGGAGAAGCAGGCTTCCCACTGAGCAGGGAGCCCGATGCGGGGCTCGATCCCAGCACCCTGGGATCATGACCTGAGCCAAAGGCAGATGCTTAATGACTGAGCCACCCAGGCGCCCCTGTTTTTTGTTTGTTTTTTTTTTAATAAAACTAAATGTGTACTCACCATATGACCCAGAAATCTCAATCTTGGGCATTTATCCCACAGAAATGGAATTACACATCCACAAAAAACTTGTACATAAGTGTTTGTATCAGCTTTATTTGCAACAGCCAAAACCACGGAACATCAACAATGTCTGCAGGTGAATAGTTAAACTCATACACCCACATGGGCTACTGCTCAGGAATAAAAATTAACAAATTACTGAGATTGAGACATACAATTTGGATGGGTATCAAGGGCATTTTCTTAGTGAAAAAAAAAACCCAATCTCAAAAACTCACAGGCTGTCTGATCCCATTAATGTAAACCACCCCTCTCCAACACAAAAGATTTTCATTCATGTGAAATCAGTGCCCAGACATGGTCAAATTCATGAATTCAGGCCTCAAGCACTAACTCACACAGAAGGACCCCAAACTCCTAAGATCTGAAGGATCTGACTGAGGTTGGTGTTGAGCGTATCAGGAATTCTTTGGTTAATCAAAAATTTGCTGGATATTGGTATGGAATGATGTAATCAACGTTAGTGACTGTATTCATCTCCTCACCTGCTGCAACAAAGTACCACAAACTGGGTGGCTCTCAACAATAAACATTTATTCTCCTGCAGTCTGGAGGCTAGAAGTCTGAAATCAAGGTACTGGAAAAGCCATGTTCTCTCTGAGGGCTCTAGGGGGAGATCTGTTCCTTGCCTTTCTCTTAGCTTCTAGCCTTGCTACATCTTTGGCGTGCTTGCCTTTCAGAGCGATCAATCCACTCTCTGCCTCTCTGGTCACCTGGTCTACTCCCTCTGTGTCTCTTCTCTTTTTATAAGGACACCAGTGATACTGAATTAGGACACACCATAATGTCCTCATCTGAACAAGTGTAAATTTGCAAAGACCCTAGTTCCAAATAAAGCCACATTCATCGGTATTGGAGGATAGGAGTTCAACATCTTTTTGGGGGCCACAAATCAACCCATATAGGAGATGGCTGACTTGCCTGTCTACCCCTATTATTTAAGGAAGTGCTTGTATATCCTTAGTTGGAATTGCTGTAACTACTTCTCCACTTGACCCTATTT